ACAAGGGATGCTCAAAAGTTTATACTTCCTATTTATTATGACAAAAAGTACAACAGATACTGGCAGTCTAATAACACCATTGGATAGAGTAACATTTTTTTTTTCTTTCATGTCTTGTTCAGTTTTATCTGACTCATTCTCAGTTGCTATCTACAAGAAAACAAAGAATAACAATATGGGTTATTGTTGGGAAGGTTCAGTCTCTACTTTTATACCAGCAAAATCCACCTCTAATGTTTTAGGACAACTAAATAAAATAGGGGTTATTAGTTTTGGGGTATCCCTTGTCTCCATGCGTCTTTGAGCATTTCATTTTCTTGTTTATCAACTTTATTCTTCAAAAAAATAAAGTATAATGATAGTTTATTCATTCATAGATCCCCTGTTAATTGCAAACACTCATAGCCTTCAGTTAATAGTGCCTTGTAGTCAGAGCTGGGCACCAAACTGCTAATCCATTAATCGCTTTAATTATCAAAGTTAACATTTTCGCCAACGATTCAACCCCCAAGCCAACTTTGAACATCATCATAGGATCTCAAGAACTTGAATCTGTTGATGTCGTTGAGGTTAAAACTGTCAATGCCACTATACTTCAGCAGAAACAGGCTCTGAACTTAGCGTTAACAGGTTATCGATAACTTCCATTGTAATTTTAAGGAGCTAACTGAGCAGTGGTTAACAAAGTTAATTTTTTTGGTTAACGGCGTCCACCTGTGATGATTCTCGAATTTAACTTGAAATTCAAATCCCCAACGAAAATTCCAACTTCATTAATGAACAATTAACGGATTAACACTTTGGCACTCAGCTCTGGATAATGACCCCAGTAGACACAGAACAATTAGATTATTTATTATAAACAAATGAAAACGGCCAACATATTTGACAACTCACCAGCAAGATTCAAACTACATATGACCAACATTATTTATGAATTTACATGCCATTTATGGATTTGCATGTGTGAAAGTGAGAGATAGATACGTGTAATGGGGAAAAAGAGTAGGGAAGAGTCAATAAAAATGAATAAAAATCTTGGTGCTTATCAATTTAAGATCATAAACAGCACCTAGGTTTAAAAAAAAAAAAACTTTTAATATCAACCAATGACAAAAGTTGCAAGATTTTTTTAAAAAAGGCTTCATTTGAACTTATTTAAAAATCATTAAATGAAAAGCTCCTACATAGCAAGAAAATTATATATATATTTATACTGTTACATTAATGACGTTTCAGCCGTTGTTCGCTGTGGACTTCTACTGGTGATATTTGTTAGATTTTCAAACTGATCTCTTTATTTAGATCCAAAATAGTAGTGAGTTCAGTCCCTAGTGTCAATGAAGAGAGTAAAAACTGGGAGGGTTATCAAGGTGAATTAACTAAAACCGAGATATCCAAAGGCATGGTTACATGAAATTAGAACAATCTAAAACGGTGGATAAATAAAGAGGTAGGTTTTAAAGTTGGTGAAGAAAACCAGTGTATACAATGGCCAAAACACTGTGAATGTGACAATAAAGATGAGGACAATGGTCTGAACAATGTAAATAGCATAAATAGTTACAATACCTCATCTCAGAAATATAGTCAGATCCTAAAGAAGTCCGGAGTGTACAACACCCGAAATGTTGTGAACGTGACAATAGAGATGAAGACATGTCCAAACAATGTAAATAGTGTAAATATTGTAAATATCTCATCTCAGAATTATAGACAGATCCTGCAGAAGTCCAGAGTGTACAACACCCGAAACGTTGTGAATGTGACAACAAAGATGACGACAATAGTCCGAACAGTGTAAATAGTGACAAAGTCTGTCAGATTAATGAATATAAAAATCCATTTCTTCTTCTTTAGAAATACATAAAATTGTGTAAATGCATTTGTGTTTATATATAGGCAAAAGAAAGAGATACTGAAATGAGAAGCAGATAAATGTAAAAAGTATTTATGTAATTACGAGAGATGAAGGTTCAATCTGAAATAGAGGCATACTGTCTCTACTACAATCTTGAGGCATATCTCCTGTCATATCAATCGGAAATCAGTCGGATATGTCAAAACTCAAGTGCAAAACATTCCTGTATCTGATTACAACAGAACATTTTTTTGTAAGAAATATAATGCACAGGAGTATTTGTTTATATATATATATATATATATATATATATATATATATTTCATTTTCTTTAAAACTTCCTCATTGCTTGCATGTTCCATCCCTGGTATTCTCTACAGCCTTCTGTAAAACCACATTTGTTTTGCTCTCTTCTTCATCTGTAAGGAGAATGTCTAGTGTTCACGGTCATATAGGAGGACTCTTTCTTGATATTTTGCTGAGACTTTAGAAGGCATCTTTCACTATTCCAATGTCCCTTCAGATTTTTTTATCACATTTTCCATTCTCTAGAGCAGTGGTTGCCAAACTTTTTCTCTCTGGCCTGCATTTCTGGAGTGAAAAATTCACTTGCACCTCACCAAATTTTATGTGATAAAAAATACATTTAAAAATAAAAAACAAGGAAAGGATTAAATAGAAATAACCATGGATTCAAAGTCAAAATATTATTATTGATAACTCTCTCCTCCAATTTGCAGACCCTAGTTACTATATTCTCAATACTTGATATAATGCAAAAAATGTCACAAAGATAAAATCAGTCAATAAATATCTGTAACTATTTATACTGGGACTCATGCATGCAAGTATTCCATAATGATATTTTAAATCATATTTATTTTTGGCATATTAATTTTTTTGAAACTGTTTCTAAATCTTTAATAGTCTTTCAATCATTTACCTCACATGCTATCCTCTTCTGCCACACCATTTCGGAACCACTGCTCTAGAGAGATTTTTAAAATAATGCTAACACTTCCAAATATTGTGCTTTCAAAATGCTTCCCACTCAACAGATTTTTTATACAAATGTCCCTCCAATACAAGGCCCAAGAGCCACTCAAAGTAGAGATGAGTATAAGAAAAGTCAAGAAGTGAAGTTCATGGGGTTATGCAGGAAAAATAGCAATTAAACCTAACCATGAAGAGGTCAAGATTGTATTGGTTGGGAAAGCATTAAAGCTGAATATTATCTACCATGTATTCATCTGTGAAAGCAGAATAACATATTTTGTGTTTTTATTACTTCCAAGCCCCTAAAAAAATTAAATTTTGGCCCATAAGGAGTTGATATGTTGTTAAACAGACAAATCAATCAATTAATCAATGTTCACTGCCAGAGATCAATTATGAAATTTGACATCAAACCCCAACTTTATAATACCCAACTTAGGTAATAAAATATTTTTATAAGTTGAATTATAGCTTAGAAGTTTTAACATTATTAGTATATTATTTAGTATTTCACACTAAATGTATATCACTGCAAATAAACTTGTTGTTGCCACCCACGGATGAAAATCAGTAAATGCCAAACATGAGTTATCTCCTGGTTGGCAGTCAACATGTTAAATAACTACTATCTTCATTAGGACTGTGATGTCACAAAATATGGCAGTAAATGCTGGAAAATTTCCTCATGGATGAAGGTGAGACTTAAAGCAAGAATTTTTGTTCATCAAAAGGATGCTCAAAATGCTATGGATGAAACACGTGAGCAATGAGAAAGTTTTAAGGAAAATGGAAACAAAAAGACAATTTTGCTGAGAATCTAAAAGTGACAGTTGAAATTTCTGGGAGTTATCTTAAGGAAAGAATGCTTAGAGAGTGCAGAACTCACAGGACATATTAAAGGTAAACAGGAGAAAGGGAATAACTTAGATAATGTTTATGTAAATAGATGGTAAAGCAAGGACTCTGGGGAATAAACATTGCTTAACATTACAAAGGATAGGAAGTTATGGAGAGCTGTGATTGCTCATGTGTTGAGAATACCTTACTTCACAATCTTATTAAATAAAATAAAAACTGTGTGTTAAAATCTGTTATGGAGTGATTTCACAGTGGAGGCTTGTATTTGTACTAAGTCGGTCCTAAAAAGGTTCAACGTACAAAATGTTAGGAACTTGATATAATAGGTATAATGCAGAGTAAATCTAGTTGTGGTCGCTGATACTGTAGTATTGGACTAACCGTCATCCGACATCGACTGACTGACCGACCCAGTGAGCCAACTCACTCGTTACTCTTACTAATCCTACTTATTATAGGTGGGAGAGTCTATTGAATATAGAATAGGTATGTTCCACTATAACAAAATCCTAGCCAGTTCTTGGTGAACCTTTACAAATTCACATTGAAGTTTACCTGAAAAATTTGTCTGTTCTAATCTTTTTCCCTCTTTCCTGAACCTGTCATGCCAAAAAAGATATTTACCGATTTTCCCGAAAAGAGAGAGAAAATGCAGAAATTTTAAAGTAAAACAACAGGTCTATGAAAACATTTGGATTTATAAAAGCTTTAAAAACTGATGCATTTTTTTATTTATTTTATTTTATTTTTTTTTTTTAAAGAGAAACGGTAAATTCTTTCTAAAATCTTGCTGGGGGGAATTTTGTTTAGCTCTGATAATTGCAGGAACAAATGTTTTGAAAATTTAATTTTGTGAGAAAAAAAAAAGACATTGATTAAAAATAAAACAAAATATGTTTGGTATTTGTTTCTACATTTTGTTTAACCCAGAGCAAGCAAAGGGAAAATTTCATTTTTACACATTTTTTTTTTAAAGACTACTCCCTTTTATATATATATATATATATATATATATATATATATATATATGTATGTATGCCTGCTTTTAAATGCTGCTTTCTTCAATGCTTATTGCTTTATTTTTGAGAATTCTGTACACTTCTCAAAGAAAAAGGGAGGAATTTTAAGTTGTACAAAGAGCAATTCTTGTATCAATTCTTGGTGTCAGAAATAATAACAGTAATTGAAAGATTTTAGCAGATGGACTTTAAAATGAAAAAATAAAGAAAACAAATTTCTGGAAAGAGAAAAAGTGAAAACATGGCAAAAAATAAAATTATCAAACAGAATAGAATTAGAAAGAACAAAATTAGCATTAGAAGAAAGAAAGAAAGAAAAAATTACTAAAGAAGAAAAAACAAAATTACTTGAGAAGACAGAAAGAATAAAATTGAGAAGAAAGAAAAAGAGAAAGAAAATAAAATTACTTAAAGAAAAAACAAAATTAATTGAGAAGAGAGAAATAAAGAAAAACATTAATAGAGAAGAAAGAACGAAAAATTACTTGAGAAAATAGAGACACAAAGTTAATTAAGACAAAAAATAAAAATAAATTACTTAAAAGAAACAAAGAACCAAATTACTTAAGAAAAAAGAAAGAAAAAGAAAATTACTTGAGAAGAAAGAAAGAAAGAAGAAAATTGCTTGAGAAGAAAGAAAGAAAGAAGAAAATTGCTTGAGAAGAAAGAAAGAAAGAAGAAAATTGCTTGAGAAGAAAGAAAGAAAGAAGAAAATTGCTTGAGAAGAAAGAAAGAAAGAAGAAAATTGCTTGAGAAGAAAGAAAGAAAGAAGAAAATTGCTTGAGAAGAAAGAAAGAAAGAAGAAAATTACTTGAGAAGAAAGAAAGAAAGAAGAAAATTGCTTGAGAAGAAAGAAAGAAAGAAGAAAATTGCTTGAGAAGAAAGAAAGAAAGAAGAAAATTACTTGAGAAGAAAGAAAGAAAGAAAGAAAGAAAGAATAAAATTGCTTGAGAAGAAAGAAAGAAAGAAGAAAATTACTTGAGAAGAAAGAAAGAAAGAAAGAAGAAAATTACTTGAGAAGAAAGAAAGAAGAAAATTACTTGAGAAGAAAGAAAGAAGAAAATTACTTGAGAAGAAAGAAAGAAGAAAATTACTTGAGAAGAAAGAAAGAAGAAAATTACTTGAGAAGAAAGAAAGAAGAAAATTACTTGAGAAGAAAAGAAAGAAGAAAAATTACTTGAGAAGAAAGAAAGAAGAAAATTACTTGAGAAGAAAGAAAGAAGAAAATTACTTGAGAAGAAAGAAAGAAGAAAATTACTTGAGAAGAAAGAAAGAAGAAAATTACTTGAGAAGAAAGAAAGAAGAAAATTACTTGAGAAGAAAGAAAGAAGAAAATTACTTGAGAAGAAAGAAAGAAGAAAATTACTTGAGAAGAAAGAAAGAAGAAAATTACTTGAGAAGAAAGAAAGAAGAAAATTACTTGAGAAGAAAGAAAGAAGAAAATTACTTGAGAAGAAAGAAAGAAAGAAAGAAAGAATAAAATTGCTTGAGAAGAAAGAAAGAAAGAAAGAAGAAAATTACTTGAGAAGAAAGAAAGAAGAAAATTACTTGAGAAGAAAGAAAGAAAGAAAGAAGAAAATTACTTGAGAAGAAAGAAAGAAAGAAAGAAGAAAATTACTTGAGAAGAAAAGAAAGAAGAAAATTACTTGAGAAGAAAGAAAGAAGAAAATTACTTGAGAAGAAAGAAAGAAGAAAATTACTTGAGAAGAAAGAAAGAAGAAAATTACTTGAGAAGAAAGAAAGAAAGAAAGAAGAAAATTACTTGAGAAGAAAGCAAGAAAGAAGAAAATTACTTGAGAAGAAAGAAAGAAAGAAAGGAGAAAATTACTTGAGAAGAAAGAAAGAAAGAACAAATAAAATTACTGATGCAAAAAGAAAGAAATTTCAACCAATAGAAAGAAAGATGCAAATCCACATAGCTCAAACCTTGAGTCATTCATTTTTCAGACACGGCAGGCTGCAAGGAATTTTAGGCAATTGTAATTTTTATTTATTAATTTCTTCTTTGAAGAGAAGATGTTATTTTCTGGTTAATTTATACTTTGTTGGGGAAACCGGAGGTGGGAAGCTATAGTTAATTTGCATTTGCTTTTATAAAAATAAAAAAAAAACTTAGAAACCAAAGAAAAACAACAAATGAATTTTTTTTTTTTTTAAATAATCAAGAAAAACTAAAGAAATATTTTATTAATCATTTTTTTGTTTTCATTATTAAGGGAGTACTCACCATCATCTGATGGTGTTTTAATGTTAAAAATATACTTTTGCAATTGTGACATCAGATTTTTTAGGTCCAGCTGTCCATAAATTCAAGAATGTTTTTATTACTTCTGAGTAAGGAAAGCTAAAAACACATTATGTTTTTTGCATTACAAGGCAACAGACACTGGCTTTTACAGAAGGAGAGAAAATATTGCTATTATTCATGCCAATGACATAGGTATTCATAGTTGGGATAAGAATGATCTTGAATAGAAAATCCTCTACCAAGAGTTCCAAGAAAGAGGACTTAAGATAAACCTTTCCAAAACGGAAACTATGATCTAGAATTAGAACAAAAGTAGCGATGGCACATACAATGAATCCATCATAAAAATTCAGGAGGTAGGATTAGTAAATACTAAACACTTCAGATACCACAGCATATGGATTAGTTATAACAAATTAAGTATAGGAGAAAAAGAAATTGAGCACAGAAGAGGGTGCACTCAAGATAGATTTGCCCAAAACCATAAGTTGCTCCAAAACTAAAACATTAATCTAAAAATTCGAGTCATGTTCTTAAAGAAGAAAATAAAAAACATTGATGTCAAGTCAAACATATGTACCCACTAAAAGTAATATTTATAGTAATAAGATTATATATATATATATATATATATATATATATAATTTTAGGATATTACATCAAAATATGTAAAAATGCTACACAAATGCAATCATGTTTTGATGTGTATTAACACATCTCATCAGGTGTTAGTAAATAACTGGTGAATAGACAATTTATTGAGATTTAAAAACATACGACCTCTTTTCAGGAGAAAAGGAAAATTCATTTTCATTTCATTTGGATATATATAAGTGAACACTGAAGTCAACACTCAGAAGCAACAGGCTGTTTCATGCCAAACACAATCATCAGGGATTTACATACAATATCTCTGATATTGAGCACTTTATCCCATAAATATACCATACCTTGAAACTATATTTCTTTGTTATATATATTTTAAGACATTTTTATGTTTATACATTCTTTTTATAGATACAAATATTTAAGTAAATACTCTGTTTTATAATAAACTGTATTAATAACATTTACCGAACTGAATGTGTGAGAAATTTTAATTCAGGCCAGTAAATGTTATTAATACTGTTTATTATAAAAGCATTTACTTAAATATTTGTATCTATAAAAAGAATGTATAAACATAAAAATGTCTTAAAATAATTTTCAGACTTTGTCCATTTCATAATGTGTGACATCTATATATATATATATATATGTGAATGTGTATGACAGTTGTTCCATCAAACAAACCTAGTCTAATGAAGTCCTAAGGGATGAAATACATCACACTTTGTCATATATCTTTCCTCTTAAACTGTTCTTGAGATCTATATATATATATATATAAAAGTGTGTATGTGTGTGTATGTGTACATAAGTGTATACTAATTCCTTATAATAAGACAGTATGTATGGAGAGGGAATATACCTATGCGTATGCATGATGACAAAAACACAAAAAAATGGAAATAGATCCAGAAATACATAGGGGTCATTAAAAGATAAGAATAGAGATATCTTTCTCACCCTTTCAGGGACCAGTCTTAATTGCTTTATTACCCTTCACACAGAATTCTTTCACTGTCAGTTCAACAAAGACATTTGGGTCACTAACACACAAAAAAGACAATGTCTAATATCGAGAATATTTAACATCGAAAAACATAAGAAAAATTAATTCCTTTTAATAATATGTGGAAGTATCCACTCTTTGACTGATGAAGGTCACAAGACTGGAAACGTGTGTAGCAAAACTATGGAAATTAAAGAATAATATTTTTTTAAAAATTCCACATTACAACCAAAAATGGTTGCAGTTTCTCTTTTTTATTATACACACTTTTCTCTCATTGGAACTACTATAACCTCTTCGCTTATATATATATATATATATATATATATATATATATATGTGTGTGTGTGTGTGTGTGTGTGTGAATAAAGACAAAAAGAAAAATTGTTTTAGTAGATGCATTTCATCCTCTGAGGGACATTATTAAGGTTGCCTTGATAAAGTCTCTCAGAAGATGAAACACATCAGCTAAGTTTTCCCTTTGTTGTTATTCATTTTGTTATTTTACAGATATACTCTAACTGAAATTTTTACACACACACACACACACACACACACATATATATATTATGAAATGGATTAAGTCTGATAATTATTTTAATATATTTCCATTTATACGTTATTTTTACAGATATAATTTAAGTAAATTTTCTGTATTTTTATTTAAACATTATTAATTACATTTACCAGCCAGAATGTTCAAGAAATTTTTGTAGCATATATTTTCTAAATAATAACAACTATGAACATGGCCACAATGCACTGACCATGTTTGGAAAACAGAACATTACTATAACTCTAGATACATAAATCAATTCATATGTTCAGTTAAAAGTAAAATAAAATTCATTGTTGATAATGGCTAAAAGTATAGCTGAAAGCATTTCGATGTATAACGCATTCTGGCATTTTTTATATCATTTTTGTCCTGAAATGAAAAAAATTATAAGATCATATAAAAAATTCTATAAAAAACTTAACTTGTCAGTCATTTTTAATGAAACTTGTATAAACGAGGGATTGTTCCCCAAATACACAATATATATATATATATATATATATATATATTGTGTATTTGGGGAACAATCTTTTATTTTATTCAACCATATAACCGAAAAATTTTTACATGGAGATTTTTTACAGTTATAAATTAATTCTTCAGACTTCCAAGAAAAGCAGGTGGTATTTCAGGAATGAAAAATGGTGAAAAAGACTTTTAAAAGACATAGTAATCGATCATTTACAGTTTTTTAGTCTCTTAGAAGCATTCCTTTTTCAGACACAAAAAAAAAAAAAATAATCACAAAATGAAGCAATTCTTTGGAATTTTTTTTTTCTTTTGTCATTTTAAACTTTCAGAAAAGCTGCTCTCTGGAAACATAGATTTCTCATTCTATACAACTCATAATTCATATTTATTGAATACAAGTTAACAAAACTGGTAAATCTGATTCTTATCAACCTTTTATAGGGATTCAGTTCCCAACTAGGTATTTACAGAGATGATGCAAGTATTTACTCTCATCTCAGGCATCCAGAAAAAGTATTTGATGTGGAATTATAATAATCTAGCCCCGTGATTCCAATGCCTGGCCACAGCTGAGGTAGAAAAAAAACAAAAAAAACTTGAAAAGTTGACTTACTAAAAGGAATTAACTGAAACTGAAACTAAGACATCCAGTAAAGGAAGGGCACATGGAATTAGATCAATCTACCCCAGTGGATGGAATAAAGGGTTCAGTTCAAATTTCCAACGTATATCACCTGAAGAAGGCCAGAGCATACAACAGCCGAAACATTGGGAATATAACAATGAAGATGAGGACAGTAGTTCGAAAAATGTAAATAGTGTAAAGAGATCCGACAAAGTAAATCTGGCAACTGCTCTTGAAAATGACCTCTAATCAATGGTTAACTGGGGCAAGAAATGGATTGTAAAATTTAATGCCTCCAAAACAAAACTGCTTTCATTCAATCATCATGGTGAACCTTTCTCAGTCTGCCATTAGTATGGCTGATGCTAAACTCTAGGAGAGCCATACTCTATGCCTTCTTGAATTCACATTTTCTACTGACATGGAGTGGAGTAACTATATTGAATCAATTGCTAAGTCTACTGCTAGGAAAGTTTGTTCACTGTACTGTGCCAGAAAATTTTTTTCATCAGAATCCATTATGCACATGATTCAACCGTGCATCAAATACTGCTGCCATATCTGGTCTGGTGCTCCTGCTGCCATATCTCAAGATTCTTGACAAAATCAAAAGAAGGGTACCGTAACGTAATCGATCCTGACCAGGCATCTCAACTTCAACCACTTTCTCACTGACGTAACATAGCTTCCCTCTGTCTTTTCTAAAAACATTTTCCTGGCATTTACTCTGATGAATTTTTTTTTCCTAGTGACCCAACTACATGAATTTAAGCATGCTACTAAATTGGCAACTAGGCCCCATTGTTTTACAGTTGAAATAGATAAATTCAACTGCCACTTCTACTCTAACAGTTTCTTTTCTCTCACTTCCCACCTGTGGGACTCCCTTCTGTTACATTGCTTCCCTGATAAGTAAAATCTTCAAAATTTTAAATGCAATGTCAATCGCTATCTTCCTTTTTTTTTGTCCTTTCTTCAATCCTTCATATACTTCTCATTTTCTTTCACTGCGCCTTCTTGGCATCACGTTATCAATTGACTTGAAGCAGAGTGACTACATAAAATCAATAGCTGCAAGGAACGTTGGGTCACTGTCATGCCAGAAATTTTTTCCTTTCCATCATGCACATTTACAAATCTATATGCATTGAACACTGCTGCTATATCTGGTCTGGTGCTCCTGCTGCATATCTTGAGATCCTTGACAAAATCGAAAGAAGGGATTGTAACTTAATCGATTTTGATCTCGTATCGTGACGTCATTCACTTTCTCACCAACTAACATGACTTCCCCCTGTCTTATCTATAAATATTTCAATGGTAATTGTTCTGATTAGCTTTTTTCCTTAGTGTCTTGACTGCATGACTTTAAGCATGCTAGTAGATTGGACTGTGTAGTAGTGTAATGGATATCAGCTTGGAGTTCGAATTCGGAGAGCCGAGTTTGAATTTTAGTCAAGTTCATTAGATTCACTTACACACAAATACCCTTGGGAAAGGATGAATCCATCTCTCCCCAGCTATGGGTTAAATAGCAGGAGAAACTGGGTTTTTAGCCTTGGTTGGCAACCAGTCTACCACAGAAAGAATTGGTAACCTACAACAGGAAAATATCTGCCTTGTCAGTTATTTATCAAAAGATACATAATCACCAAAACATATATTATGTATGGCACTTAAATGACTAACTAGATTGACAATTAGATCTCACCATTTTACTGTTGAACTAGTTAGATGCAACCACCACTTCTGTTCTAATGATTTCTTTTCTCACACTTCTCACCTGTGGAACTCCTTTCTGATTCCTTGCTTCCCTGCTATGTAAAATTTTCAAAAATTTAAATGTAACATCAATCACCATCTTCTGTCTTTCTGAACCCTGTTCTTTTATTGTCCTTTCCTCACTTCTCCTCATTAATGATCTATCACTCCCTGTACCCCACTGCATCCTAGTGGCATTATCACCCAGCTTGGGGTGAAATGATTAAAAAAAGAAAAAGTAATATGAACTGAGAAGGTACTGTGGAGTAATGGATAGCGGCTCGGATTGAGGGATCAGAGAACTGACTTCAAATTCTATTCGAATCCATTACATTCACTTATGTGCTAATACCCTTGGGAAAGGCATGAATCCAACTTTTTCTCCCACCAGCTATGGGTAAATAGCAGGACAGACTGAGTTCTATAGTCTTGGATGGCAACTTGTCTACTGCAAAAAGATTATCTCCAAAAAGAAAAAGTTCTCACAATCTAAAAATATTTTCTGGCTTTAAATAACCCTCAAACAATTGATAAGCCATAAAAAATGAATCTATCAATCAATGAGATATTGATTATCTACACAGACATGTATTTTAGATTTATTTACATTCCCTGAAATGTAAATTTCTAAAAAAATACTGTGTATTGATTGTAATATACAATTAATCCTCTATTTTATATAAACATTATAATTTCTTGTTTGTTTATCAAATTCTGATTAGGCATGTTTCCATTTCTTCTCCCCCACCAGCTATGGGTTGATTAGTAAGTTGTTTATCATTAATCTATTATTATCTCCCTACCCCACCAAATAAATTCTTACAACCTAAAAATATTTCCTGGCTTTAAATAATTTCCAAAGTGTTGATAATCCATAGAAAACGAATCTATTAATCAATTATTATTATAGCACACCTTTGTTGTTAAAGATTTCATACAGACCTCTTAATAGAAGTCCTGTGCTTTGAAATTTAATTATTAAAGTAATAATACATTTAAGTAATATTTTCTTTGTCAAAAGTGTCTGCATTCAGTTGATATAAACCCAAGAGACTTGTTTTGGTCCCAGCAAGTAATTAACTTGGTGAGTGAGGGTCAAATTCACCAAAATTGTGAAAATTATTTTATTTATTTGCATAAGGAATGCAAATTAGCCATAAAATGAATTATTCTTTCTTTCTTTCTTTTTTTTAAATCCACTGCAAAAAGTGATGTCTGTTTGAGATACTTGTAAGAGGAAGGAGAAAATGGGAAATTAGTGGTTTTGGGGAATAGGAAGTAAAGGATAAGGTCAGCATGGGTGTTGTGTGTTATGATAGGTGAGTCAGGACCGCTTCATCATCATATGTTGTCCCTAGATTTTGGCTGGGCAGGTGGATGTGCAGGTAAAACAACTAGGATGTTTACTTTGAGAGCTGAAGATCTTTTCTTTTCTCCAACTCAAAGAGGGTGAGAAAGGTCAGAGTCAAGGAGAGGCTAGCAAAATAAAACTAGAAAATGGTTTAGAAAAATAGTCACTTGAAAAATTTGGGGTCAAATTCCAAATGTGTATATTCACATGTATAAAAAGGAAGAGATAAACTCTGTGTGTGTGTTTATATACACACATTTATTTGTGAGAGTGTGAGTATAGTTCTTAATATATAAATTAGATAGCACTGTTTTTATGTATGTGTATGGTAGTTTCTGCATAGTTAAAATAAGATCATGGATGGGGGGGAAAAGAGTTGAGAGAAAAGAAATAAGATAAACATGTATAACTGCTTGACTTTTTCCAATCTCCCAGTGTGTGCCCCTACACGGGATGGGAGAGAGTGAGAGAGCAAGACTGAGAATGGTCAGAGAAAAGCAGACAGGTTGAGAGGGGGTGAAACAAACAGGATATGAAGAACAGACAGCTGTGATGAGTGAGAGAGAGAGAAAGATAGGATGAGAGTGGGTAAGATAGATACGAGAGTGAGATGGAGACAATGAGAGGAAGAGACAGTTGAGAGAAGAAGAGTGAGTGAGTGAGTGTGAGACAAACAGATAGGATAAGAGTGAATGAGAGTGGGTGAGACAGATATGAAAGAGGATGAGAGGAAGACAGCGACTGATCAAGAGAGAGAGAATCAGAGTGAGACAAATGGGATAAAGAGTGAATGAGAGAGATACAGTGGGTGAGACAGATATGAGAGAGAGAGAGTAGATGAGAGGAAGAGCAAGATTTGAGAGTTGTTGAGAGAGAGTGAATGTGAGTGAGATAGATATGATAAGAATGAGTGAGTGAGGAAGATAGGATGAGGGTGGGTGAAACAGAATTTAAAGGTTCAAGATTGATTTTGGTGGGAAAAATTGTCTAGCACAAAACAGGGAGACCAACTTTCTTATTAGCTGACTTAGCAATTCATTCAATATAAATGTTCCATGTCATGCCAGTGGAAAACATTAGATCGATTGGTTGATTTTGTTTAGTGGCATATCAACAGATCTATAGGTTATTTAATGCCAAAATGGAAATATTTTGAACACTATTGTATGCCTTCAACTATAGATAAAATGTATTGTTGGTCATTTTGCTTTAAATATGTATTGTTGGTAATTTTACTATAAATAGGTATACTATTTACATTATTCAGACTATTGTCCTCATCTTTGTCGCCATATTTATTACAACGTTTCGGCTGTTGTACGCTCCGGCCTTCTTCAGGTGGTTGGAAAGTCGAACTGAACCCTTTATTTCACTCACTGTGGTTAGATCCAGTGACAGGACCCAAAGAGTGTGAGTTCAATACTCGGTGAAGGCAGTGGAGAACTTGCAGAGGGGAATTAACAGATAACTGACATCCATTAAACATGGCACATGGAACTAGAACAATCTACCCCAGTGTGTGAAATAAAGGGTTCAGTTCGACATTCCAATCCCCTGAAGAAGGTCGGAGTATACAATGGCCAAAACGTAATAAATATGGTGACAAAGATGAGGACAATAGTCTGAATAATGTAAATAGTGTACATAATACCTCATCTCAGAAATATAGACAGATAATGAATAGGTATTTACACTATTTACATCATTCAGCCTGTTGTCCTCATCTTTGTTGCCATATTCATGATGTTTTGGCCATTGCAAACTCTTCAGAATTGGAATTTCAAAACAAACCCTTTATTTAGTCCACAGAGGTAGATTGTTCTAATTTCACATGTCATGTCTTTTTCGGATACCTCAGTTTCAGATAATTCCCTTTAGTAACTCAACTCTCCAAGATTTTGTTCCCTCTGCTGTGGCCAAGTATTGAACTCACAGCTCTTTGGATCAAGTCACTCTTTGGATTACTCAATCAATACTTATCCATTCAGCCAGATGAGATATCTAAAAGGCATGGCACATGGAATTAGAATAATCTATTGCCATGCACTAAATAAAGGATTTGATTTGAAATTCCAATGTATATCACCTGAAGAAGGCCAGAGTATACAACGGCTGAAACATTAGGAATATGGCAATAAAGATGAGGACAACAGTCCGAATAATGTAAATAGTTACAATACTTCATTTTGAAGATAATAGATATTGTTGGTTATTTTACTATAAATATATATTTGTCATAATTTTTTTTTAGATAAAAATATATTGCTGGTATTTTTACTCTAACAATTTATTTTTATCCTTTTATAGTGCTTTGTTTGTTTGGCGGTTCAATATTTTCCCATAGCTGGGACCCTAACAGGTGCTACCACCTCTGGTCAGGGTGACCCTGAGAACAACAGCAATTAAGAGGTGATTCCACATTCCTCAAAACCTCCAATCCTGATGAGAGACTTTGCTGCCAGATGTAGTTTATCATCACATCCAGGATGAAAGTTAAATGGTGAAAGGATTGTAAGAAATTCATAGGAGTATACTGTACACAAAAGATTTTATCAATATGCTCACATACTTAGAAAATCTCTTTTAATAACTACCCCCACCACCGACAAATGTCCATTTATTTTGGTCTCAGGTGAAAGACCTGGTAATTGATTGTACAGAATAGCAAATCAGAATGAATAAAAAAAAATAAAATAAAATAAACAATAATAATACAAAAAACAGATTATCAAGACCTTGACTCTCAGAGTTGGGGAGCTGAAGTTATAATAAATGACAAATTTGGAATTTTGCCCAAAATATAATGGGGTGTGCTGAAGAGTTTCTCAACCCAATCTACTTTTATCTAAAGATTTGATCAAATGAAGGAATATTATAATTTCCATGTTTCTCAAAACCTCCAATCTCCTGATCAGAGGCCTTGCTGCCAGATGTTGTTTATCATCATACCCAGGACACCATTAGATCGAGAATCTTGTGTTACTGTTTTACCAGTTCTTGCTGATAATCTTCTTAATTTGAAGTCAAGTAGATAGTTTTCAGTTTAGTTAGACATTAGGAACATAAATAAGAATGTTTAAAGTGTCAGATGAAAGGGTCTTTGAATTCATTAAGACAAGCAAATTTCTTTAAAATTCTAATTCCCTGAGGTGGGGGTACAAGTCTTAACATTTAGCAGTCTTCTTATTTTCTTTCTTTTCTTCCCCTTTGGGAGGGTGGTTTACGTAGACCTAATACTATGATCTGAGGCGTGAAATAAGTAAAATCTCTAAGAACGAGATCAATTAAACTGACTGATCTTGACTTTGAAGAATTTCAATTTTCTTTTGCTTTCACTGAATACAATTTGTAAACAACCTCATGAGTAAGCATACCATCTGTTAGATGAGCAGCTGAATGAATCCGGAGGATTTGCAAACATTTATCCTCTACCAGCTCAATTTTGCCAATTTGAGTTATCTCCCTTCACAGCTCAATTTTGTGAATTGTTAACTCCTTTAATGCTGCTTGCTTCTTTCATATGCTACACCCATTCAGGTTAATGGACACATGGCTGAGTAGTTAGAATGTTCACTTTCCAACAATGAGACCCGGGTTCAAATCGCTCTATGGTTGATTAGTGATGAAGGTGACTTCTTGATGTTATCGACTGAGGAAGGTGATCCTAGAATGCTACACCTTTGGAAAGTGCCTGAAAGTGCTACAGTTTTACGCAAGCTTTGTGAGTGAAATTGGGTAGACAGAACTATTTGAGAGTTGTTGATAATTGAACTAGCATTAGTCGCAAGTCATCATTGACCAATGGTTTGAGCGTACTGGCTTTGCTCAGTCTGTTGGTCATGCCAGATAATGAACTCTCTCTTAGAAATTGCAACTAATGTCCCCTCAGCAATATTTGCAGTATAAGCCACAGGTGGACTCAAGGTGTTGAGTTAACACAAATGTGCCTGAGCAGGCGTCTGCAATGGGGATTAGCTAACTGACCTAGCAGACATGCAAACCCCAATACAAGCAGCCAGATATTACTTACCCTTTCAGGATGTGTAAGATCATGACTCTCCACAATATCCTTCTCTTCTTGCTCTACCTTTTGTCATTCCTCTTTGTTAGTATTATCTCTGTTTATTTTTTCCTTTAAAACTATTTCTCACCTGCTACAAGGACCAAGAGCCACTCAAGTTACCAAATGAGATAGTTGTAAGTGCATAAAGGGAGGATCAAGGTAGAAGATGTAAATATGACGATTAAGTGTAGGATAAATATTAGTTGAAAATAGACTTGAATAAGTTAAAATTGTATATGTCTATATTTCTGAGATGAGGTGTTATGTACACTATTTACATTATTCAGACTATTGTCCTCATCTTTGTTGCCATATTTATCACATTGTTTCAGCCATTGTACACTCCAGCCTTCTTCAGGTGATTGGAATGTCGAACTGAACCCTTTATTTGTATTTCCTCAACCCCCGACAAGGTCAGGTTGTGACACAAGGTCTGTCCAATGTGGGGAGCCCGAGTGCGTACACCCAGGCAAGGAACAAAAATTCCCTGAGCTCTCACAACCATCTGTTGCACTGGCTTTGGTGTGTACACCGATCCTTCTCTCTAGTGCAATGAGAAGGTGCGGCTTTGGGCAGCTGTTTCCCTGGGCCAGCACCTCTCAGTATAATTTTCCTCAGTTGCAACTCTGTCCTTTGACAAAGCCGCCCCTGAGCACACTCTGCCCAAAGACAGAGATGCAACTGAGAGATAATAAGTAATGCATTAGAAATTCCTCCAAGGAACCCTTTATTTCACTTTCTGGGGTAGACTGTTCTAGTTCCACATGCCATGTCTAATGGATGTCAGCTATCAGTTATCTCCTGTTAATTCACCTCTCCAAGTTCTCCACTGCCTTAACCAGGTACTGAACTCACAACCTTTTGGGTCTTGTCACTGGATCTAACCTTAAGAACACATAGCATAGTAGATAAAGGCATTGGAATGGATTGTAAACTGGAAAAGGATTCATCACTCACAAGGCAGTGTAAATGCTTTTGAATTTTTTCTGCCAAGGCTGTTCAGTGAGGACTGGTGGGTTACCAGCTCAGATATGACAACAATATTCCATTTTTGGTCTCATATGATTCTTATAAAGGAACATCATGGCAGAAGGAGACAATGGCCGAGCACATTGAAGCATTGGTTTATAAATGTGGTGACATAGTGATTAATCTCTCGGCCCAGCACTGTATACTTGAACTCACAGGAAACAAATGAGCAATAACTGCACAGTACTATAAATAAGAACTAGACACAGTATCCCTAGACATGAGCAGTGGAACGAGAACAGTCAACCTCTATAGATTAAATAAAGGGTTTAGTTCAGAATTCCCTGTTGGTTACTCATATCAATATAAACAATTCAAAGGATTTAAATTGATACCAGGAGGATGTGGATTAAAAGGTTTACACTTGTTAATCTTAATATATTTGTCTGGATTATTATATTAAATAATAATTCTAGATTGTGTCTATTTATTACTTAATAACAATAGAAAACCGATCTCTCATTTTATGCCCAGTAGAAACTTATATTCATATTCAATATAACTATATCCCTAAAACTTATAGTGTTGTTATTCTAGATTGGGTCAATTTACTACTTAATAACAGTAGAAAACCGATCCCTCACTTTATGCCCAGCAGTGGTTTACCAATCCTATTAAAAATGATAACCATTTTTTTATGGCCTTACTATTATTATAAACACCTATCCTCCTAGCATCAATTTAAATTGACACCTACTATATATATATATATATATATATATATATATATAATGAAAAAACAGACCACTTTAAGGTACCATTACAATAATTTATTTCACCAAAATCTTTTTTAAAGGACTGCGGATTATCAGGTAACACTTCCAACAACGAAATGAATCCCATTTTTCCTTTCATTTCATTGTTGGAAGTGTTACCTGATGATCCAGAGTCCTTTAAAAAGGATTTTGGTGAAATAAATTATTGTAATGGTACCTTAAAGTGGTCTGTTTTTTTCATTAAATATTAGTTCTGTATTCACATTGAGCTCTCAGGATTTCATCCTCCTTGGAATTACCCATTCGGTTTTACTTCAAGTTCTTCTTAATTAATATATATATATATATATATATATATATATATATATATATATATATGGTGGCCATTTTAATTAAAATTCATAATCTTTTGATTTGCGATGAAAGCTTGTTAATTTTCCAACAAATTTCAGTGGGATTTCCACTTTCCAATATTATAATTTAGAAATTCAGGTATCAGTGGGGAAAGGCATCCATTTAAAATGACATTTTCTTTTTCTCCATATATCTAAATTATAATTATAAAATACAATTTTGGAAAGGAGTCTATAAGCTAATGTCCTTGGATTCTCATCTGGAAATATCACTTCAAGCAAAAAGATGTGGACACAAGTATTTTTTTTTTCTTGAAACAATGACAAATAATATAGAAGAGTTAAAAGTGAAAGTTCTGAGAAAAAAAAAAATAATGAAAGAACAGAAACATATAGTCAAAAAATATTTCTGGTGATAAGCCGAAGTTGAATAATTCATCCTTAGAGAAACAAAGAATTTCCCAGATATTGATTTTAGTTGAGTTCTGGTAGGTTTACCAAAGAGACATTTTTTTCTTTGTGTAGGGGGAGGGGGGTTGCTTTATGTCTCATTATTTATTTTTTCAAATTTTTTATACCTTCTTTCTTTATCAGTTTTGTAATATTTTCTTTCTTTCCTTTCACAATTGAAATTCCTTCTCCCTTTTTTGGTTTTCTTTCATTCTTTTATTCATTCATTTTCTAACAATAATCTTTTTTTTCCCCAACCTATTTTATTCTTCCTCCATTTCAATTCTTCTTCTCTTTTATATCTATTTCCTTCATATCTTCTTCATTCATTTTTTTTCATGTTTCATTACACTGTCTTCATTCTCCAATTTAGTTAACATTACTTGCTTCTCTGTTCTTTATCTATTTCTTTCTTTTACACTCATTCATAACAATTCTTTCATTCTAAACCACTGACACACACCTTTATTTTTCCTAGATTTAAACTTAATTGCGAAAAAAAAGTTTTTAAATGTGATGAAAGGGAAATAAAAGAGAACTTAGAACTTTTAAGAAGCAAGGGAAGATAACTCTGCAAAGCAATAAACTGTCAGAAAAAATAAACTTCAAAATGGATGAGCTGTTAACAAAAAAGATGTAAAAAAAGAAATAATCAGAGGGTATTTCAACTTGTAAGATTGATTCATCCATTTGCTATGACATGTTTTATTTATTTTTTTTAAATTTGCAACGACCATTCGTTTTTTTTGGTTTTTTGGGGCTTGTGTGTGTGTAAATCCAAATGAGAAAAAATAACATTCAAATAAGATTTTTAAACAAAATGTCTAAATTTACATATCTATATATAACATTTTTTTTCTTTCAAGACTTTAGTTTATATTCTTCCACAAAAACAATTATAATTTTTGAAAAATGTTCCTTACAGATTGCAGATTTTAAAAAAAAAAAACAATTTTCCCTGGCCCAACTCAGCAAAACCTGCTTTAAATATGCATATATATAAAATAAAAACTGATATATAGGTATATTGAAAATTTTCTCTCTCCTTCTGTCAGTCTCTCTCTCTCTTACTATCACTATCTCTGTTGGTCTCTCTCATTCTCACTCTGTCTCTGTATCGCTTACTTTTTCTCTCTCTTTCGCTCTTTGTCTATCTCTTTCACTTTCCCTTTCTTTCTCTGTCTGTCTCTCTCATTCGCTGTCTTTCTTTTTATCTCTCTCTTTTTCTCACTCTCTATCTCTCACTTTCCCTCTCTCTCTCTTTATCTCTTGCTTTTTCTCACTCTTTGTCTCTTTCTTTCTGGATATGGGTAACCACAACTCTCCACAACTTTCTGTATTTTGTTGTTCCCAGTAATATTTTCTCTTTGCAAATCTTATTCATTTATCAATTTTCCAGGTATGTGACTCACTGCTTTTCGCTACTTCTCTTGCTTTCAACGTGCCTTGTGAGTGTTAAAATCTCCAAGTCTTCTTTCTTCATTATGTGTTGGAATAATTGCAGTTTCTTTATAGTTCCTATTCTCCTTAGAAGTTTTTCATTTATCAATAGAACCCCACCTTGGAGAATCTTTTCTTAAATTGTGATGAAATATATACCTTTCACTTCTATCATCATCAAATCATCTGTCCCAGAACCAGGGTTGGTCATAGGGTCACAGTGCAGGTAAGGATCTGGCAAATTTCCCCTATATCTTGTTTTTATACACACAATCTCTCTCAATATATACATACACACACATACTTAGATGGTTTTGTTTCTCATA